GTGTGTGTTTGGCTGGTGTCTGGAGTTCAGATGAGTGTGAGTGTGTGTGTGTGCGTGCGTGCGAGTGCGTGCGTGTGAGTGTGTGCGTGTGTGTGTGAAGCGAACAAACATTAAGTGCATGTGCTTATGGAGATTTTCCATCTGTGCTCCATGTAAACTAATTAGTGTGCAGCACTGAGACACAAACAGGCATCCTGTGAGGGGTTTCCCTCTGTCAGGTGAATCTGTCCGTCTGTGTCTCCATGGCAACCGTCTCCCTGCGGCCCCTCCCTCACCTGAGGAGCTTCCTCACCTACAGCAGGTGAAACACGACTGGCTTCAGATCCGCCAGATATACTCGAATAATAAAGCAATTTTAAATAGCTGTTTTATATGTGAATATATGTAAAAAATATATGCATCACAGTTTCCACAAAAATATTGAGCAGCACAACTGTTTTCAACACTGATAATAATCAGAAATGTTTCTCAAGCAGCAAATCAGCATATTAGAATGATTTCTGAAGATCATGTGACACTGAAGACTGGAGTAATGATGCTGAAAATACAGCTTTGATCACAGAAATAAATTACATTTTACAAATATTGACATAGAAAACAAATATTTTAAATTACAATAATATTTCACAATTTTACTGTATTTTTATTCATATACATATGATAACCCTATACAAGCTATGCCAATAAGTAAGAATTTTTAAGAATTTTTTTTTTATATTTCAGAGCATCAGAGTTAGATCTATAAATGATTTTTAAAGATTTATTTGATTAATTTCTATGTCTGTCACAGGTTTTGCTGATGGTGGGATGTGGTGTACCAGACACACTGAATCCTCTGGTATGTCATACAGGTAACGTGATTGTGAACACACCCATTAACACAAGCTGCTCGTGTTTTTCTCATCCGCAGCGAATGAATTTGGAAACAGATTTCCTCTCACTGAGCTTCAGTGCGTCTCCAAACAGCACAGACTTTCAGCAGAGAAATGCCAAAAGACAGAAAAACACTTCGTCTGCAGTTTCTCACGCTGATGTTCTGCATGAAAACTGCAAAAACAGCGGCTCCTTTACCAAAGCTTCCCATTCATTTCTATGAAGGAAATATAGACATATTTCCAATCATCAATTTGGTTCTTTTGGGAAAAAAAATGTTTCGCAGTTCAAGTAAAGCAACATTTTCTCACCTGCCAGCAGAATAAAAGACACTAGACATACATAATGCATCAGAGTTCAGCTGCTGGAACAGAATCCTATTAAATGCTGCTTCTTTTAGCCTCTTTTATATTTTATTTTAGTTTTTGCTTTTACTTGAAGTGACAAAATATACACCAGAAAAAAATAAAATAAAAAAAAAATAATTTCCCCTCGTGTGAGTGAGTGAATGAGTGAGTGTGTGTGTGCGTGTGAGTGTGTGTGCGCGTGTGTGTGTGTTGGTTGTACTCACAGTGGTGAGGCGCGTCTGTAACGGAGACTCATCACTCATGGTCCAGAAGCATGTGTGAGACGCCTGTAAGAAGCACAAGAGAAAATAACAGGCAGTCAGACGGACAGACGCTTGTCCATCATCAGGACCCCTGAGTGCTGACTCAGCAACATAAGCAGAATCACTGCAGAACGACCATCCATCTGGATCAGAACACATCATTACAAATATGGTAGAACCATCACTTCTACAAGAAAATACTGCTTTGTAAATAATCTTCCCAATTTGTCTCAATTCCTCAGCAAATCCAACAGCTCAGAAAAACTCTGTTTTCTATAAACTATTGACTCTCTCTTTTCTAGCACTTTAGATACGGTTGCTCCTTTACGCTTAAGGAAGATTAAGGAATACAGTCCAACACCGTGATATAACGAGCACACTCGCACCCTAAAGAGAGCAGCCCGGAAAATGGAGCGCAGCTAGAAGAAAACAAAACTAGAGGTATTTCGTATTGCATGGAGGGAAAGTATTAGAGATAAAATTGTAACCATGCAGCCATCAGCTACAGTATCACATCAGATAGTGTGCTATAGATCGCCTGAGGAACAATTCCACTCATTCTCTACTATAGGAGAGGAAGAATTGTATAAACTTTTTAAATCATCTAAAAAAAACAACATGTGTGTTGTTTGGGAGGCAGACACACTCTGTCAGTTTAAATCTAGATTAAAGACCCATCTCTTTAACCTGGATCCAGTCTGTATCCAGATCAGATGGTGGATCAGCAGCTAGAGACGACCTCTACAGCCCTGAATGTCAGCGGAGACCACGTCAACTAAAAACAGATCCCCAGTGAAGACCTCATCACCTCGACAGCCATCGGCACAAGACCACGGGAACCAGACGAGTCCTCTGCACAATCTGACCTGTGCTGCAGCCTGGAATTAAACCACGGCATGCTAGTTTGGTCTGGTCAGAGGAGAACTAGACCCCCACTGAGCCTGGTTTCTCCCAAGGTTTTTTCTCCATTTCTGTCACCGATGGAGTTTTGGTTCCTTTGTCTTGCTTAGTTGGGGACGCTTGACTGATTGCACAAACACTATTGAAGAGAGCTGAACTGGATGATTACATCACTGAATCATCAATGAACTGACTTTAGCTGAAAAATTACTCTGTTATTGTCCTCTTGCATTATTGACAAACTATGTTCCTGTTTAACACTGTAAAGCTGCTTTGACACAATCAGTACTGTATAAAGCACTATAGAAATAAAGGTGACTTGACACACAAACACATTTTATTTTAATTTTAAAGTTTTAGTAATTTTGTTTTGTGTTTTTGTCATTTTTAGTAGTTTTTACTTGTGTGTATAGTTTTTATTAGGTTTTAGTTTATTTAATTTTAAGTTATGTTAGCACTTTAACAAACTAAATGAAAACGAGAAGTCGTTGGTATACTATTATAGTTTTTGTCAATATTTTGATTAGACGTTATTTTATTTGTTAATTTTTTATTTGAATTTTATTTAAAGTTGTATTAAATTTGATGTGCTGTCATTTTTATTTAAAAAGTTTTTGTTATTTCAGTTCAATGAAAATGAGATGTTGCCTTGGCAGCTCGTTGAAATAAAATATATTTTATTTAATATATAATAATATTTTATTTCAAGTAATGGAAATGTTTTTATGGTTTTAGTTTTAGTTAATAATAAGGACAGGTCAAGATCTTTGTTATTACTGACACATATTGTTGAGTTTATGCGGGTCATGCAAATGTTAATGAATGTTATGTTTGATTTCTCTTATATGACACAGGTGGTCATGTGATGCGTGTCCTGCAGCGAAACGGACCGAGACGCTCTGGACTGAGACACACTCCGGTAGGACCGATGATGCACACACACACACACACACACACACGTCCAGTGAACTAGAAGCCATAAACCATGCGACTGTGCTTGATTCAGCATTCATTACAGCTGTTTAACTCTCTGACCGCACACACACTGACCATTAACCAGCGACTCAGTGCTTCCTGTGCATGCGTGATGCTGGGAAACTGAGCGGCTCACAGCACTGAGTATTCATGAGGAAAACACACACACACACACAGAGCAGAGCCAGAGATGCCCGCTGATGTCACTGGGGCATTATGGGATTGGTGGAGGATGCTGTGGCGTTCAGTGCTGATAATAACTGCAGAAAGTAGGACACCAGAATCTACAAGCACTGCAGTTACACACAGCATACAGCGCTCGTGTGGGCTATTCATGGAGGAAATCTCTTGTCTTACATTTTTACATTTACATTATATATACTGTAATGTAACTGTAATCTCTTACAGGTACTGAAAAAAATGTGTAATTAAATTATAGTTACTTATGAAAATGTTAACGATTACAAAGTGGGTAAAATCTAAATGTTTCACACACCCACATACAGATTTAATTGAATTCTTTCATAAATTGCATTGACTGCTGTAAAATATGAGACACCAATGTTCAGGATAAAGAATAGGACACATGCTTATTTGATAACTGTTTTATTTCCTATTTGGGTTTATGTATATGCTTTATTTTTTAAGATGAACTGTTTTTCCCAGGCATTGTTAGATGTGTTTGCTGTCATAGCAAAGATTTGATTTCAAAAACAGCATCACTGCTATTAAACTATTTCTTATGTTTTTAAACCTGTATTTAACCTCAGAACGATCTCAAAGTAACAAGAGCTGGTAAAGTCTGATTTTGTGGTGGCTGTGCTTTAAAATGTAATTATTATAATCTTAATTCAAGTGATGAAGAAAGTCTGACAGTAATGAGAGTTGAGCACTACTGTAAGGTTAACCCTGCCTGCTTTACATGATTATCTTTAAATGATTTAAATGATAATTTAGAAAAGTAATCAAATGTAATCAGTTACATTACTTTAATAATTCAGACACCAACATTGCACACATTATCACAGTTTATTCGCTATAGTTTAGAAAATGGTAATAAAATATGAGAAGAACTCAGAGTTAAACTGTGTCAGAACAAATTCATCTTGATAATGTGTGCAAAACATGCTCAGGTCAAAGTGTCTGAATCATTTTTGGTCCCAAATTTTTTTTTATCAATTTTACTGTCATTTTATTTTCAGCTAGTTTACTTTATTCTGCTCTCCTCACTTACATAAATGAGCTATAGTGTCCTGCACCCACTAGTAAAAAAATATCAAAAATTATATCTGGTCTCTGAAGTTGAATAGCTGTCAGCTGTTAAATTTAATACACAATTAGATAAAACAATTTAGCTCAACTAATTACCAAGCATTCATTTAGTTCAGTCTGTGGTGTAAAAAGCTCGCATTAGCAATTAAAGAAAAACACCTCAGCAAAACATGCTCAGGTCAAAGTGTCTGAATCATTTTTGGTCCCAAATTTTTTTTTATCAATTTTACTGTCATTTTATTTTCAGCTAGTTTACTTTATTCTGCTCTCCTCACTTACATAAATGAGCTATAGTGTCCTGCACCCACTAGTAAAAAAAAAATATTAAAAATTATATCTGGTGTCTGAATAATTTTTGGTTTGACTGTATTCTCACACACACACACACACACACACACATATATATATATATTTGCTGGAGCTTAATAAACTCAGACCGCGCCACTAGCCAGTTAATTAGAATAATTAAAGCCTTTCAGAATGACTGATCAGTATAAGCTCGCATCTGAAGAGAGAGAGAGAGAGTCAGTGATGCTTGTTTCACGCGCTCTTTACATGTGAATGTATGTCGCGCGTGACATAAATCATATTAAAACTCACACAACCGTCTTTTGCTGCGCACTGACGCGACGCGCTGCTGACTGACGTCATTATTCATGTTATGATTCAGAGGCTTGACGTCATAACTCGAGCTCGACGCGACGCGCCGCGGCAGATTTCCATCATCGCGCGGACACATCAGCAACCCAGAGACGCGTTCGATTGTTTGTTTATTGATGAACACCAGACGCACGCAGAACGCGCCGCCGCGCTCCACACTCGCTGCATTTACAACAATTTGCATTTCCAACGCGTTAAACGCAGGCAGACAGGACGCGCGTCGCTAAACAACATCACTCACCTATGTGTAATTCATGCTGTCCGAACGAGGGACGCGTTATAAGCGCTCGCCAATGGCACGACGCTCCAGCAGCGCGTTACATTTCATCCGAATGGCAGCCGGACTTTATGAATGAAGCGGAGTGGCGCGGGTGACGCGAGCGCTGGGATTCTCCTCATGTGCGTCAGAGAGGAGGAGGAGGAGGAGGAGGGTGGTGCTTCACTGCAGAAACCACTGATTCACAAAACCAGAGCAAAACCCGAAGCGGGTCTGAGCCACACTGCCGCATGACGTCATGAACCGATGAAGATGAAGCAGGATTTCTGCAGCTTCACACACACACACACACACACACACACTCTCTCTCACACACACACACACTCTCTCTCTCTCTCACACACGCACACACACTCTCTCTCACACACGCACACACATATGCACACACACACACAATCTCTTTCACATCCTCCTCTAAACCACCAACAATCACACTTTAATTGGTAACTGTTGTTTAAGTGTTTAATTGTCTAAAGTCCAATTTAGTAAGTCAGTTTTAGTTTTATAGCACTTCATACAATAGAGACTGTTCAACGCAGCGAGTCCCTTGATCCTGGATATATGAAATCAATGTTATATTATTATATTAAATATTATTTAGAGAGGAACAGAGAAAGAAAAGAAAAGAAGAAGAGAAAAAAAAAACTTTAATATATACATAATCATATTTTCTTATTTAACTAGTTAAATAAATGAATCATTAAAGTAAATATATAATAAACAATTAAAAAGTAAAGAAAAAGTAATTATAGTAATAAAAATGTAAGAAACATGCAAATAAGTAAATGTTTTTTGTTTGTTTGTTTGTTTACATGGCTACACATTCGATCTATGAAGGCTCTATTATATTACTATATGGACAGAAGTTTTTGGTAACACTTTAGAATAAAGAACACTTATTCACTATTAACTACGATTTTTCTATCAGTAAACTATTAATAGTTAGTAAGGTAGTTGTTAGGTTTAGGTATTGGGTAGGATTAGGGATAAAGAATAAGGCATTAATATGTGCTTAATTAGTACTAATAAATGGCTAATATTCTAGTAATATGCATGCTAATAAGCAACTAGTTAAGAGACACTAAAATAAAGTGTTACCAAGTTTTTCTATTAAAAAAAAGGAGCGCTATTTGAGCCCAATTAGATATGATTATTAAAAAATAAGATCAGATGTTTTATCAAAGTATTATTATTTTTTATGTTTAGACACATAAGTGAAGCAGAAGGCCTTGTGACAGAAAAGAGTTTTCCTCTTGAAGATTTTTTTATATTGTGCTGAAAACAAACACGATCAGAACACTCTCATCATGAGCAGAAAACAAACTAGTAATTTTCAAGTTTATGTTATATTTCCTTGCCATCCACAGATAATTTCCCCAATTTTAACAATAGCCGTGTCATCTACAGCTCTTAATCACGCTTTAGTGTCTTTATAGAGAAGCAGCGCTGCTGACTTTTACTCTCCAGTCCATGCACCTCAGTGTTCGGTGAGCCGCTCTGTCACTTCACGTGGATTTCTGCTTCTTGGTGGAGTTTCTGCTGTTCCTAAACACGTCCACTCTCCAACAATACCACTTACAGCTGAGCGTGCAATATCTAGCAGGGATGAAATTACACAAACTGACTCATTGCAAAGGCGGCATCTTATCACAGCACCACGCTTGAGTTCACTGAGCTCTTCAGAACAACAGATTTTTTTTCAGAAATGTTTGTAAATGCTGACTGCATGGATAGTGCTTGATTTTATACAGCTCTCTCTCTCTCTCACACACACACACACGCTCACACACACGCTCACACACACACACACACACAGGCTTGTGCTCATCAAGGTGAAAGATCTGCAGGTCATCAGTGAAAATCACACAGGTTTCTGTGACAGAGCTGATCGATCCAGATGATGCTGTAGATGATCGATCATCACATCGCAAATATTGATCCGTGTGTTTGTGGAAGACAGATTGTGTCACTGAAATAAGCACAACGATGCATACTGATATTGATCTTTTATATTCAACATCTGACAACTCACAAGCTCTTATTATTTATGTATTTATTTACGAAAATGTGGCAATATGTATGCAGATGACAAATATTGCATATGAATATGCAATTTGCACATTTAAAAAGAAGCACCTCAAGCTACAGTCCAGGGTTTCCCAGCTCGGGGTTGATGATGGAAAGCTAATCATTTTAATGTCATTTAAATGTCAAATTAAAATAAGTTATTTTAAAATAAAATCAATCAGAATAAATTACTTAAAATTAAATCATAAAAATGTTAAAAAAAAAAAATAAATAAATAAAAGCAATCAAAAGAATTTACTTAACATTTGTTAAATTATAAAAATGTAAAATTAAAATAAGTTATTTTAAAATAAAATCAATCAGAATAAATTATTTAAAATTAAATCATAAAAAAGTAAAATTGAAAATTTTTTTTTTTAAATAAAAGCAATCAAAACAAATTACTTAAAATTCATTACATTATAAAAATGTCAAATTAAAATAAGTTATTTAAAAAATCAGAATAAATTATTTAAAATTAAATCATAAAAATGTAACATTGAAAATAAAAAAATTTAAAAATAAAAGCAATCAAAACATTTATAAACATTTATTAAATTATAAAAAATGTAAAATTAAAATAAATATTTTTAAAATAATAAACAAACAGTCAACAATAATATATAAAAACATTTAAGTCTATTATAGAAACATTAAATTAAAATAAATTATTTAAAAATATAATAAAATATAAATATTTGGTTTGTTAAGCTGCATTTCATGTGAGCATTACCTGATGTCAGTGAACACGTGAAATATTAACTTAAAATCTCTAAGAAAATATATTTCAAATACAGGTTAAAGGGGTTCGGCTAACAACCACATTTGCTGACAGATGAATAGTTATAACTAGCTGAAATAAAATCAGTTTACCTTTTTTATTTTATAGTTTTTGTTTTTGTTTTTGTTTTAGTTAATGATAATAACTCTGCACTCAAGCGCTGTTTTCTGTAAATATATCCAGTGTTTCTCCTGCAGATTCTCTGATGAGATCAAATGATGTTCGCCGGCTCCTCTGACATCAAAGTCACTCCTGGACTTGTAAGTTAATTTATGATTTTTAAAAGCAATTCATGAATTTCTATTTGATGTTGTTGTTGTTATATAGAAATCTCACAGTCTAGAGCTGCTCAGAGTCAGACATTAGGTGACTGATTCATAAACAGCTGGGGGAAAAAATACAGAAAAAAATGGTTTAGAAACTATTTTCACTCTCTCTTGAAAATGTCATAATTACTACGAAATGGCAAGTAACACGTTGAAATAAATGTAAAAAGTATTTTCTTGAAAAATTTACTTTTTGCAAAATTGTTTTGTTTAGTGACATGATAGAAAAGTCGTTTTTAGTCACGCGAGGCGTTAGTGCTGTAGTTCTTCTGAGAGACTCACGGTGTCGCTGTTTCCCTTCATTTCTGACCTGATGATCATCAGGGTCCAGTTGTTCATTTAACTTAAATGTTTAAAATCAAAATGTTTAAAATCAGAATGATCTGGATTTGGAAATCCCATGTTTTGCTATCCAGGATCAGGTGACCCGTCTTACTTCTCTGCTGGTTTTTCAAAGCAAAACTGGATTGGATCACAATTATCAGATACACACTTTTTCAGATTTCAGAAATCTGGAGCCCTTAAAGGGACATGCTGATGGGGAAAAATATGAGATGGGGAAAAAAAAGTCAATGCTTTTGCATTCTAGTTTTAACTACTTCTGACTGGTCCATTTCTGATGATTGTGCCAATGTAGTTTACAATCAGTGATAAACATTTTTTTTTCAATTAAATATAATATTTTTGTTTGACATTGACAGCTGTTTGAGGATTTGGGGATGTATTGCATGTTACAAATGCTGTATGTTTTGGACCAGTTTTAAAGTGTTATGACATTTTTGTTCCTGAAATCCACTCTTCTGCTGGGATCAGAACAATCCCGTTTTTCTTTTTTTTGATCAAAAGTATCCCGATCGTACTAAAACGTTTTGAACAACACAAACTGAGAATTTAATGCAATCTAATCCGAATTCAGACTCCTTTTTGTCTTTTGAACAACCCATTTCCCAGATTTGATCCGATGGCCAAAATCTGATCAGGTTAGCTTTGAACGACTGGTCTGAGAACATCAGATGAAGATCAGCTCTCGTCATCAGTGAGATGTTTAAGAAGAGCCTGATTGAATGTGTGACCCTTGACTTCAGATGCTCGTTACTGGAAGCCTTCGTAACCGCAGGCCGCAGCGGCTTCCTGATCTCTGTACTGATCTCATCGCTGTGTTTTACTGGATGTTCTCTGACGCTGACACACAAACAGCTCTGAGCAGCATCTCTCGGTGCTCTCTGTGTTGTGCTTGAGCGCTCACGCCTCTCACAGAACGCACAGAGCAAGCAGGAAGTGAAAGTTCTCAGGCTTCTGCCGGCGTGGATGTGAAACGCTTTGTGAGAGTTTGAGCTGCCAGAAACAGCTACACACAGATGCTGCAGAACTGACCTCTGACCCCACATGGTGGAAAGACAAACAAATGAGCACTTGTATTCAGCAAGGAGGTGCCTTTATAATATGCAAATCAGAATATTAGAATGATTTCTGAAGATCATGTGACACTGAAGACTGGAGTAATGATGCTGAAAATACAGCTGCGCATCACAGAAATACATTACAGTTTAACAGTTATTCACATAGAAAACAGCTGTTTTACATTCTAATAATCCGCAGCGGCTTCCTGATCTCTGTACTGATCTCATCGCTGTGTTTTACTGGATGTTCTCTGACGCTGACACACAAACAGCTCTGAGCAGCATCTCTCGGTGCTCTCTGTGTTGTGCTTGAGCGCTCACGCCTCTCACAGAACGCACAGAGCAAGCAGGAAGTGAAAGTTCTCAGGCTTCTGCCGGCGTGGATGTGAAACGCTTTGTGAGAGTTTGAGCTGCCAGAAACAGCTACACACAGATGCTGCAGAACTGACCTCTGACCCCACATGGTGGAAAGACAAACAAATGAGCACTTGTATTCAGCAAGGAGGTGCCTTTATAATATGCAAATCAGAATATTAGAATGATTTCTGAAGATCATGTGACACTGAAGACTGGAGTAATGATGCTGAAAATACAGCTGCGCATCACAGAAATACATTACAGTTTAACAGTTATTCACATAGAAAACAGCTGTTTTACATTCTAATAATTTGTCAGAATTTTTACTGTATTTTTGATCAAATAAATGCAGCCTTGGTGAGCAGAAGAGACTTCTTTCAAAAGCATTAAAAATCCCCAAACTTTTGAACAGCAGTGTTTTCAACAACAGTCTTGCATTAATAAACTAATGTCAATTCATCTGCTTTATTTGTTAAAACAGTGGCAATTTTCACTCAGAAATTGCTAGTAAATTTTACAATTAATTACAAAGAAATGACAAGCAACATTGAATTAAACAGGACATTGTGAAGTAGAAAAACTGAAACCGTATTTTCTTGTAAAACACATTCCAATAATCTTTAGAGAGAAAAACTGTTACACAGCTTGAGTTACAGGATCTACATTATTAGTGGCCAGATATTTTTCATATAATCATGCACAGCAGATTCACTTCAGACCTCTGTTCAGTCAGATGCGTATTAATCAGAATGTGGTATTTTAACATGTAAATCTGTTTGTGTTTGAGAGAGCTGATCAGGAGCAGAGCTGAGAGCTGGTGTGTGAGCTTTACAAAAAAAAGGCATGTAGCATTGAATTAAAAGTGATATTTAGAAGTAGAAAAACTTAAATAGCATTGAAAATGATTAAAAGTGACAGTAAAGACATTTATAATGTTGCAAAATATTTCTATTTCAAATAAATGCTGTTCTTCTGAACTTTCTGTTCATCTGTGAATCCTGAAAAATAACATGTGCCACAATTTCCACAAACATATGAAGCAGCACGACTGTTTTCAACACTGAAATTTTGAAGTAGAAAGTGCTCATAGAACATTTTATTTTTGAAAGGTTTTAGTTGGACATTCATGTAACGTTTTTTTTTTTAATGTTACTTTTTTTAGAACGTTCGTTGAACATTTCAAAGTAACACTGTTTGAACGTTTCAAATAGAATGTTCCCATAACAAAGGAAGTTTTTTAAAGCCTTTACATTTTGAACATTCCGAGAATGTTTTCATAACTTGATGGGAAGGTTTGAAAAGGCCAGCCAGGTTGAAGTGATTGATGAGCCAAGCTGTGCTCCGTATCGTGTCTAATGTGTTTAACAAAGACTCTGACTAACCCGTGAGCAGCTCACATTACTGTAACCTTTACATAAGACACCCCTGCGTGGAGACTGTAGAACAATCCTAAAACAACACGCATCATGGTGTCGGAATGTTCTGTTTCAGGAACAGGGCTGGAATTTCACTCGACATTCCTCCGGAGCGCAAACCTCCTCCCACAACATCACACTCGCTCAGATCCGAACCCCAGACGATGATTCATAACTTCAGCAAACCAGCAGAAACTCCTGAACGCTGCAGCGCTGGGAGAAGCAGGAAGTGAGTGTCTGATGTGTTGAACCACTCTGATGATGATGATGATGATGATGGACACAAACACTACAGTAAACAGCTCAGATATGAAAACCCCCTGATAATGAGCTCAAAGCCTGATCAGAACGTCCTCTCATTCACACTGCATCAGAACTGAGCCGAACAATACAATCCATCACCCAGATAACAATGAAAATATCATTAATAACAAA